CATAACGTGGCGATACGTGCGGTTTAATCCCCTTATACTGCATGTTCGCCTGTTAAATTAATATCAGTAGTAGAAGGATAGAAAATGATTGGAAATGGGCATATAAGGGAATCTCATACAGTTTATTATAAATCGCATTCCCGGTAACCTTCGATGTACGGTATTATACAGTCTTCTCCGCAGGCGTCTCTTAATTTAGTTATTGAATAACTGATGTTTTCTGATTGGGCTACTGTGCAGGGAGAAAATTCGGGAGAGATTCTAAGATTCACCGATTCTAAGTCACTGAACTATACAACAGAACTGTATATAGTTCACTGTTCTAAGTAAGTACCACGAGATGCCTGCGGAAGAGGCTAGGTATTATATAGAATTTATTTGAGGAATTTCGCTACGCATCTTGGTATGTTCAGTTTTGTTAGGTTATAATATAAAGTATGAAAACGTACCGCCAATATCAATGACACCTTCTGTACTTGTAAACTATAATCCAAATGTTTACTAGATTCCTTTACTACCACGATTGGACAACGGAAATGCTGTAAAAAATTGCATTAGTCAGATACTGTAGCTATAATTTCAGTTATATTCTAACATTAAACGATTAAAAGGGAAACGGTCAATAAAGATACACATTTTTCCGCTATGAACAACCGAACAGGCAAATAGCAAGAAGGGTTACAGTCCGTTCTGCGCATGTGCGATTTTTTTTGTTTTGGTAGACTACTCATCTCTCGTTTCCATGGTTTCTAGCCCGATTGCGTAATCTACGCGCAATTCCATATTGTTGATACTGTACAAGAAGTGGCAATACACAGTTTCGAAGAGATTTTCGCGCGTATATTACGAAAACGGACTGGAAACCATGGAAACGAGAAATGAGTAGTATGCCAACACAAAAGTATCGCACATGCGCAGAATGGACTGTAACCCGTCTTTTAGTACGACATTAGATGTGTTAGATATAATTAGGCAAGTCGCACCGTCACAACTCTAGGGATTAACTGTTAAAAATTAGAAAGACTACATCTATTCAGTGCACGTACAGAGTTTTACTGAAGTATATAGAGCAAAAACTTCATGCATACTATTTACACACAGCGCACTCTACATATGGTACTTATTAAGGTGCGATACATCTATACTTGGCCTATCATATATGTGTCTACTTTGTCTGTGTACGATTTGTCTACCTTGGGAGTAGAGAGTTCGCGTTCACATCAAATTATAAGTTATAACCGACTTTAAGTCGTGATTGAGGATAGCGGTTAGGGTCTGGCTAAAAGATAAGAGTTAAAGTTATGGGTGACAGCGCAAGTAACGCGATATCATGGTTAGCTATTCACAATGCTTTCCCGACACTATCATGTATTCTACATGGAACACTTGTGGAACATTTGTTTTGCTAGTATAGAACTTATAAAATGTGCCAGATAATACTGGGTTAACAGATGAGTAAGTGGTGGAGTGATGCTAGACGCGCATTTTTTTAGTAGGCGGGTGGTTATTTTGTCAGGAGCGGAAGCTTTATTTGGATTGAGATTGTTGAGTGCGTTACGTACTTCGGCTAGAATGATCTCTGAAATAGTTTCGCTGCATGATGGTGGTGAAACAGTGCAACAACTATCTCCAGAGTTTTTTAAAAATACAGAGTTGAAGTAGCGGTTGAAGTGGTTGGCACTTTCATCGGCATATATAGACTTGAAAGTGTCGTGACCTGGGTTAGCTGTTCTTAATGCTTTTCCAACGTTATCATGTACTTACAATACCGTATTTACTCGTTTGAGCGCCGCGGCGCTCTTTAAATTTTCAGAACTTCAGAAGCGGCGCTCATTCGGGGGCGGCGCTCAATCGGGGGCGGCGTTCTTTAAAAAATCTTCTATTTGTGAATTGTAACAAGAACTTTTAATAATAAAATAAACAAGTTTTAAAAGGTTTTTGTCACTAAATGTATCCAATTTGACGGCGGAACGTTTTTACACTGTTTAGTGCGGCGCTCATTCGGGGGCGGCGCTCGTTAAAAAAATTTGATCTCAAATGCGGCGCTTATTCGGGGGCGGCGCTCAATCGGGGGCGGCGCTCAATCGAGTAAATACGGTACTCATGTAAAGCTTTGTTTTGTTAATCTAGATGTGAACTCTCATTCTCATTTGACCTGGGCTTCACGGTTAGCGTCCAAATGTTGGGGGTTAGGGCTACAGTTTGGTAGCGTCAGAGTATTAAAGGAATGATGTTGTTGAATGAGATTTAAGAGGTTTAATTACGTACAATTTGTGTTCGAAATATCTATTTTATTACGCCTAGTATAGTTTCTAAACTCAAAGTTAAACTAGAAATCGACATCTCTTCAGTCGAGACGAACTCTAACTCGGGAATAACTAGAACTCGTGCATCAGCTAATAATAAATATCCCATTTTGTATCCCTAATGTCAGTGACATATTAGGGCCATTTATACGAGACAAAATAAGACGCGACTTACATAAGACGCGACTTAAATAAGACGCGAGTTTGTCGTATAAAAGGTACAAAATTCTTATGTAAGACGCGTCTTGGATAAGACGCGACTTAAATAAGAACAGGACTTTTAGCTGTTCTTATTTAAGTCGCGTCTTAAATAAGAAATTTTGGACAAAAATTCTAACTACACATGCCCGAAACTTCAAACAACGTAAAATTATTAGCCTTGCATATTAAAACAAAAACAACCGAAACAACATAATAGCTATAGCAAGTAAATAAGAATAAAGGCGTAGAGAACCATTTATGCGATAACTCCGCTTATTTAAGTCGCGTCTCATGTAAGTCGCGTCTTATTTTGTCTCGTATAAATGGCCCTAATGTGTCTTCTTTTTGTATGTTATGTTGCCTACTTTGTGTACGATGTGCATGTCTGCGATGTAGCATATGTAATACTGTAGATATTTTGTGTCCTATCATGCATGTCCTGACTTTGGGTGTGTACGATGTGTTCCTTTTTATCTAGTTTGTTTACGGTGCATGTGTTCAAGGTATAGTCACACAAAACAAGAAGTATTATCTCGAAGGTGCTAAAGTGTGCACACTTTGCATAATTAAGTATAGACACATACACCGGCACACCCGTATACAGGGGGTGAGGTTGACTAATGTGCGAGCCTTCGAGCCGAAGCCTTTCATTTGCGAGCCGGAGCCTTTCATTTGCGAGCCGCAAACCTCTCATTTGCGAGCCTTTATTTATACCTTTACAAGCCCGTCGAATCTCTATATTTGAGATTAGAATTATTTTCATTTTATATTCAGAGCACATCCTGTCAAGCGGTATCATTATTTAGTAAAAATGAATGCGTTTTAAATTAATCATGTCTCGCAACATGCATTTGACTTGAGGTTTCTGGAACTAAACTAATTTCAGAAATAACAAATTGTTTTTTCTCAGAAATTTACGAACCTGCCATCATATTTAAGACTATCGTGTTTCACCCTGGCTCTATATAGCAAAACAATCTCGCGGATTTACATGCTATAGTATATATATATATATATATATATATATATATATGCTATATTTCCAGCGAAGTTAATATGGCTATCCGGAAGAAACGTTTAGAAACCTATTTTATATAAATGCACGTTTCATGGAAGCTCGAAAATGGTGGTATCAGCGCCCAAATTTGTAGATTTGTTGAAATTTAGCAATAAAAGCTTTTTAATATAAGTTATAAATTAAATAGTATTTAAGAAATATTCATAATTAAAGAAATGTACACAATTGGCAGCTTTATAAATATCCAAGCTGCCTTTGAATTAGATAGATTCAATATTTCACAGGGCATCTTTTAAGGATTCTTCAGTGGTGGGGCAAAACTACCAAAGGGCCCAGGCCATTTTTTTTCCCTTTCCCTGGATAGTACGCGAACACCGAAGGTGGGTTTAAGCACATACCCTCGGGAATTTTTTAAAATTTTGGTCTCTGAAATAGCATTTCCTGCATTCTGAGAACACTTTTTAAAGAAATCTCAGGTTCTCAAAGGAAATTTTTAAAAGTGAAATTTGTGATAATTTGAAATTAAGATTCAAACACAACAAGTTTAAGTATGCTCACCAACCAATGTTGTATTTAAAAAGTATCATACTAGTTATATTTAAGATATACTGTATGCTATTCTGATGAATCTCTGAAAGATATTCTGTGAATCACAGACATCCGGATTCTTGCTTGAAGAAATGTTTCACAAATTCCCTTTGTTTGTACAGTTCTTCACACGGCTCTCGGTTTCTTCTTTCTTTCGAAGTTAAGAACTCTGATACCACTGGTCTTGGGTCAAAAAAGGATGCACCCTTTCCATTCAGAGAAATATGCAATATACCATTTATTGTCTCAGGATTAAGCGAAGACCTGCCCGATGTCTTCACATTGTTATAATGAGAAACAACTCGTTCAGTTGCCATGCTGTGAGGGACAAGGGTAAGAAAAGATGCTAGGAATTTCTTAAGTAAACCAGTACTTGCCTGTATCATCTTCCTAAGGCGAAGAGCATACATAGTTCCAGTGTCTTCCACCTCAACATGCTCAATTTTGGCCAGGTTGTTCCATGACTTGCAAACATCACTGACAAAATCTGACAGGCAGCTTGGTCCAAGAATCGAAGAAACAAGATTTCTACTGGCCAAAATTAAGTCCTTAGATGAAGATGCTTCTAGAATACTCATCAAACTCTCAACTGTGCCATCATTTTCTGTGTTCATACGTTGCCCAAGAAAATTGATGGCGGACTGCACTATTTCATTCCTTATAGCATTGCTATTCCTGTTTTGGCTTGTCACAAACTGATGTGCTGTACTGGTTCGTCTCACAGGTCTACCTTGCTCATTATCGTGCAACTCCAAATTCTGCTCCTCTTTCCCACCTGGAACTGGTATGTCATTCATAATCTTCAAGTTCTGCATAGCAGAATCTTTTGCTGTTAACACATCTGGAAGAATCAAGTTTGATTTCTGAAACAACTTCTGTAATTTTTTTCTGTGTTGGTGTTGTGTACTCAGGTGAATAATATGTTTGCGATGTTACTCTGAGTGCATATCCACACCGGGCGAGCTTGAAAAATATGCCCGGCCACGGTGGGATTCGAACGGTGGGCTAGTATTCCAAAGGTCGTAGGTTCGAATTCCACCGTGGCCGGGCATATTTTTCAAGCTCGCCCGGTGTGGATATGCACTCAGAGTAACATCGCAAACATATTATTCACCTGAGTACACAACACCAACCCAGAAAAAAAATTCATATTACAAGAACACATTGGTATTGAAGGAACTAGATACTGTTCCGAAATATCACTTACTCGAACCGTCCTGACCGCGTAGCTCGGTTGGAAGAGCATTGGGCTAGTATTCCAAAGGTCGTAGGTTCGAATCCCACCATGGCCGGGCATATTTTTCAAGCTCGCCCGGTGTGGATATGCACTCAGAGTAACATCGCAAACATATTATTCACCTGAGTACACAACACCAACACAGGAAAAAAAATTCATATTACTAGAACATATTGGTATTGAAGGAACTAGATGCTGTTCCGAAATATCACTTACTCGAACCGTCCTCACCGCGTAGCTCAGTTGGAAGAGCATTGGGCTAGTATTCCCAAGGTCGTAGGTTCGAATCCCACCGTGGCCGGGCATATTTTTCAAGCTTGCCCGGTGTGGATA